CCTGTAACCAACCCCCAACTAGTTTTACGATATGCGCCTCATCAACTATTCTTCTGATGTTATAGCATCCCCTGTAAACGATGAACTTCCGACCTTCCCAGTGGTTGTGTTGACCAGAAAGCAAACTGGGAAACTCAATCTTAGAAAACTCGGTTACCTCTGATGATGGAATACGAGGACCCTCCTGGATGATGGAAGCCAAGACGTCACTGCCCATGCGCTTCACGATTATGCTGCTGATGTAACATGTTTTCCCAAAATCCGGATACATGAACACGGTTAATGTCGAGTTCAAGTTCCTGTCACAGACAGTCCCTCTTGGCACTGTTACAGCGGTCCACAAGACAGCTTGAAACAATACGATATAGCCTTTGCACTTCACGGTCGAGCTCGAAATGCGCCATTGTCACTCCAAAGGCCCGATTCGGGAACGTTCATTCACAAGGTTCAAAATCTCACCAATCAATATCACCCAGTGAGTTAGTCAGCCTTTCCGTTAAAAACCGTGAATCGAAGTACAGCGCTTCCAGCTGCTACAGCTGCGTTCACCGAGGATAGGGAGAATAATGAAATGATTGTGTTAGAGGCTATGGCCCAGCCAATTTATTAAGATCAGATGGTTCTGTCTGTCCGGTATGGCAAGGCATGTGCTACCGCCGTTCTCTTGTCACTCCATGAGCTCTTCTGTTCATTCTGGGACAGCGAAGTGTTTCAATACGATTGATCGCTTCTATTCAGGAAAGAGATATGAAGTCTGTTTGTGACAGCCATTGTGGCATAAGCTTATTGGATATGGTTAAGATCTTACTACGCGGCCACAACACTTTTCCGTATGTATGACGATAACTTGTCACCTGGGATTCGATGGGGCTGTCCCTACACTGTTCAGCTTTGTGTCTGCTTGGATAATGTACCAAGCTGTCAACGGACACCATGAGGTGCGGGTTGGAAAGATAAATCGACCACAGACGTTGAACTCGCGGACAACGAAGATGTCTACACTGCAAGTCCCCAGTCCCCAGCAGGTCCTCCACAGGATCTGCCAATGCGTTTCTTCCGTCGACATTGAGATCAATGCCCTAGAAACAAAGGTCTTTCTCCATCACACTCGATTCCGACGGTCCAGTTACGACAAATGCAGTAGCGTTAGCAAATGTTTGAGAGTTCAGATAGTTAGGCCAGATTAAGGATGAAGTCACGACCTGCTTGGACGATCCACATAGAACGGAAACGTTTAGTATGGCACAGAAAAGGAACTAATCCCAAGACTGAGCTTCGGATCTACCAGTCTACCATCCGGTTTGTTTTATTTTATGCTCCTGAAACTTGACAGAAGCCTGCCGAAATGGGGATTTCCAAACACTGATGTTTGAGAAATATTCTAAGAGTACATCTCCAAGATGGTGTGTCCAATGAGCAGGTCAGTCGTCGATGCTTGCCCGGTTCAATCAGTCGATCAAAGACATCGACTTGACAGACTGCATTAGTTTGGTTAGGTCAGTTCGGCGTGCGCAATCACACACGTATCAAACTCACCACAAATCGCATTGTAAAGTGGATTCAAACAAGTGCCCGAATAAGACGGGCAATGATATGTTAAGCCATTTCGTCAACGACCAATCGCAGTATGACCGATCAGGGTCCACAAGTGACGTGTCGGAAACCGGGATGTGTAAAACAGACGGTAGTCAGTACATGAACCTAGGAACAGTTTACAGTTGCCATGCTTCGTAGAACCATGGTCAAGTGGACCCCTTGAAACCTCCTTTCCATGGGCATCCGGCTTGTGTTGTAAACTACGGCAAAGGTTGAGCTTCGCGCCTAATTTATCTCTAAATGAATCAGAACCATATCGTAATAATGAAATGGTATCGTTTGAAGTCAACGGTTTCGGTCATTCATCATAGGCCACAAAGTGTCGGCAATTCACCAGAGCCCAATCCCTATATCCGAAAAACGAGGTGGGGCTACACAGTCTTCAGATACACATACGTGATACGCGTACGTGGAGTTTATCGCATGTTTTGCCAGAAATATAACGCTTCTGAGGTGTAGCATACCACAGAGTCAACAAACGCTTCAGCTAGCAAATATGCCTACCACGGTGAACTTCAATGCACTGCAACGCTGTCGTAACGATCCCAGGTTGCTGCCCAAGACGCAAACAAGAAGGGTCCCCCATATATTATATATCATTCTCCATCAAATTTAGCGTTATGTCCCAAAACCATAAAAATGATGCAGTGCGATAAAACCCTTATGCAGGAGGATTTGGGTTGCAAAAGTATACAAGTCAGGTTGACATGAAGACGGACCTTGATATTTTGCAGTACCCGGCCAGAAGAATGAACGTACATGCCCACAGTCCTAAAAATATACAAATACCGTCAGATTTGTTTGATCTTGCAGTGCCGTATTAAGGCTGACCTTAACTTTTCCTGTGAGTCAGTGACGCTATGCCACAAAGTCGATTAGTAAGTAACCGTGAAATATGACGGCACAAAATCTAACTAAAAACATTCCTTTATCAGACGTTCCACACAAAGTTCACGTTACAAACTCACAGTTTTGACAGACGAGAATGTGGCAATGCTTGAAATTTTTGCAGAACAAGATCCACACAAGCTTTTCACACAAGCGGGGAATGGCAGCTGTCTCGTTCCTGCAATTTGGCCTTCCACAACATTCGTCGCTTTGTGTTCAGATGTTTTGGGGTATGCAGCAGAATGCTTTGTGCATTGGATGGTCTCTTGGTACACAGTTCTTCGACTAAATGCATTGAAGAGTAGGTTCTCCCGATTCGAACCTTTCTCAAATCGTGCTAACAAATCCAGACACAAGATGTTCAAGACGCCTTCCAAAATAGCTACTTAGGGAAGTCTAGAGGATCCACGTGAATTGTACATCTTGAGCATTTTGTCTACAAGGTCACATTTGTCATTGTCCAATAACAATACGGTTCCAGATAAATGAACCTGGAAACTGGGATGCATCGTTAGGAGCTTCCTGAGCTGATATTGGACCAAACGCTGTTCGGTGCATCAACTCCAACAAAAAACCCTGCAAGCAACCCGTCGGTGGACCGTACAACACAGACAGAGGGTTCCTGCCAGTCATGTTTCGCTTTCGTAGTAAGTCAGCAAGACGAAGATTTGCGGTAAATTTATCCGAAACGATGTCATACCTTAATCAAGCTACCTCTCCATCAATCGACAAGTCACATCTTTGGCCAGTGTTCTCCTGATGCATAAGCATGTTTTCCAAAGGAAGCTAGGCAGAGGGAAAATCCTATACATACTTCGTTGTCGTATCCATCAACATCTAAAATCAAATCCGTGTATGCTGCGTCTGTTCAATATATGCACTTGCACTCCTGTGCGAGTGAATTAACCTCTCACGAATCGCAAATGTTTGCGCACCTCTCCACGGTATGCACTAAAACTCCCCCAACATGATGGTTTTTTATCTTTTGGTCGCATGGCGTTCAGTGGACGCTGAGGTTGTTCCACCCAGGAATAGGTACCCGAAGTTTGATGCACTGATCTTCTATGTCGGTTTTTATCTGTTGGTATTACAGAAAACATATTGCATACTATTCTTTTCCTGGATGCCAGTTATTTTCCTCAATGGCCACGCACCTACGGAAACACGATCAACTCGTCAGTAAAATGTTGACCTGTTATCACTCGCCGTTAAACGCTTGGGGTCATTGCACAGTTGCATCCATGCAATGCATCCATCCCACGAAAACGCGACACCAGATCCGTACTCTGTAGATCACTGCTGCCGAAATGCATGGTTTACCAGGTTTCACACCTCTTGAGGTGCACTGACTAACAGAGATAAGAAACCTGTAGCATACGCGAATCGCTCTCGCGGTTCCATTAGACTTGTAGTATTTGAAGTCAGTGGAGTCTGCCATGCCAGCGCTACATGTCCATTTAGGCACATAGGACATGAATGCTGTATGGCTCATCGCCCGTTATTCACGGAATGTGCAATCTAACTCATGAGTGGCTGTGACGCGGCCACGAGCGCGTGGTCAAAATTGACCAGGCAGTCGTTTCGGGCTGGTTTGGATCATTTATTGCTTTAAGATTGAAAACATTGTGTTGAAAAGATGGCGATGCCCAAAACTGGACGAGATTCACTCATTTACAAATAAATCTGATTTTGCGAGAAACTCACCTGGAACCAAGCTGATGAAATTTGGTTCCCAAAAATGCTCTTCCAGTGACTTCCGACCTTATCGTCATTCTAGTGCTAGGCACCGGGCTTCGGGCAACCTGGTGTTGCTGATGCTTCGGTCCATCTCAAATAGCCACCAACGAGGTTCATCAACAATTACAACGAACACACAACGAATGAATGGTCCGCCGATCTCAAGATACTTCGATCCGAAATTCAGTGGGTCACTCCGAGGTCAGCATTCAGACTACAAGTCTACGGAGAAATCCTGGACACACCCTCAGTCTCGGCATGGGATTTCACTGCTTACTTGCTATGAACCTTCTGACGATGCCCTGGTATCTAAGTCTAAGTTCACACAGGTGTCTGCTCCAGTGTCTACCCAGCCTGAGCCAGTTAAAAACTGTTTCCAAGTGAAACATGAGCATGTGAATAAATGAAATATGAACAAATTATTCACAGCCTTTACGACGTAGTCCAATTGCACCACGCCCAACCTGAATGCCTGGATGATCAGGGGAATAAGACCCGGGAGAGTTTTTACCTAACTTTGTGTACAAACCGCATACTTTGATGCTTTTCATGTTGCGCAACCTTCCCAAAGATGCGACGAATTCCCCCATCAAAATGCCTTTATCAGAGCAGTGCCCTTTGTACCCTTAGTACATTCGTCCTGAATGGGTGGTGTTTGTCGAACCACATCCCCACACTAGTGATATTCAACATTTACCTGATGCTGCTGTAAATCATCTATCAGAGGGGAAATAGTTCTGTCATAACATACCACGCAGACATTACACATAGTTACCAACCTGCGACGGTCACACAGCGTTCGGCGAGATTGAGTTCCTTCGATTTCTGCGAGACCTGAATGAACACTCCGGTACTCTCTTTGACTTCTTTAATAAAGCTTCCGCCCTTGCCAATGATGATTCCAGCCGTGCTGTTGGGCACCAAAATTTTGACCTGCGATTGAAAGAGGAAAAAGGATGGTAACGGCTAGGAAGATAAGCTCAGTGGACTAAGCATACATATTGAAGGCGGAACTCCACAAGAATCCACGACGGGATCAGACCCAACCGAGAATACAGTACGTCAAACGGCACATTTTCGTTAGTCCAATCGATGGCTCCAAAGGCACTGATTTGACAATGCTAATCGTAACAGTAGTTACGGTGACGAGTGGAAGTCATCCTAAACCTGCTGGACTAACAATGCAATAAAATGTGGTTGCTAGCGATTACAGGGGAACAGCAAGCCCTTACTGGATTGCAAGAGTCATAAACGTTCATGTTCATGGGAGGGTGACTATCTGAAAGGCATCTGATTTGCGTTGCGAAGTGCGCCCTTAATAAAGTAAGAGTTGCTCCTATCCAATTTCAGAAGTGGAAATAAACGGTGCCTGTTATTTGTTTTTCACAAAATTAAGTGACCCCAGACTAATTTCTGGCGAGTGAAGTACCGTAACTCAAATGCCAATCAACGATCACTAGAAGTCATTCCGAAATAAAGCTTACCTGTTTATGTCGCTCAGCAGGCATACGCCCCCCTTTGTTTGTGCTCCGTAAGATGGACTCCGGTTTTTCATATATCTTTTCAGAAATGTACTGGAACACACGCAGTATGCTGTCGATGGTTCCGACGATCAGACATACACGCTCTGTTGTACCTGAATAAACATAAGACAAAATTCTGGACAGCGAATTACACGTACCAGGATAAAAGTCATTCGCCTTGGACATCTTGACCTTTGCTGAGGTCTTGTTCTGGATGTCAGTGATTGCTTCACCTCCCTTCCCGATGATTGCTCCAGCAGCGATAGAAGGTACCAATATTTTGAAATGCACATTACCTGAAAATTTGATTTAAGGAGATACGAAAAGTTAAGTTACTTGGCAGAAATTAACAAAGTCCAAAAACGACATATATGAGTTGAAATGCCGATGAAAATAATCATTTTACTTCAACACAAATGGACTGGAAAAAACAATGAATTCTCGATAAGAGGCACTTGATACCAGCCGACTCCTTCAGTATGCCAGATTGATAAAACTACTTGAAAAGATATCCTAACAAATGTCCTAGAAAGTCCATTTACATATCTGTATCCATCAGAAGTGACTACAAACCACTACAAGAGTTACTCCACCGCCTCAAACAGACTAGAAATCAAAGCAACGAAGGTAAAACTCTCGTTATACACAGAACCGGCGTCTCAGTCACTAGGAGATTAGCTGAATAAACAAGTCCTGGCGTCCTAGTACACTAGCTGAATTCCTCCAGGGCGGTCGCGAGAATTAGGAACTAAGATCTGGGGATCGTCGAAGTTTAAGAGTTTTCAGACGCCGGTGCCTGTGGAGAACATTATTTGTTCCTTGCAACCATCTCTTCTTCAAGCGGCAGGCACCCCTGTTTTGGAGAAGCCAAATACATCAACCAAACACTGCCAACTCGAGGTTCGGATACGTCCTGTACGAGCAGCCTAATGAAGATCCAATAAACACTATGATAAGAATCCATTAGAGCAGACTTACTGCTCTGCGAATCATAAGGCATCAGTAGAGTTTTAATAAGATTTAGCTCAGACGTCGCCAACTTGTTCCATCACGATATGCTCACTAAAATTGGTTTGTATGTTCACCCTCAGCCCCTAGTGTATGTCTGTGATTTTGCGCCATTGTTGCAAACAGATGTGGGAATAGACATGGAAGCTCCTGTAAGAGTGTAACATCGAACTTGACGCGGGGAACGAAAAAATCTTGAAGTCTGTCACGCGGAGCACAATACAGATCAAAGATAACTAAAAGCAAGGCAAAATACTCGGCGCATTAAGCTTTCAGAACTACCGCCACTATAGAAAATCATTGGTTTTTCAATTCTGAACGCAAATGTGTGAAGGCAAATGCCTCACACTCCCAGTTGACCCATCCCGCATATACAAGCCTGTAAACCATCGTATTAGATCAGTGCCTCTACACACACTGCATTCCCAAACAAGTGCATAAAATTTGTCGTTCCGCTTAGCCGGTGTTTTTTGCGAGTTGGTTGATGTCGAATAGCAGTAGCAACGCCTAGTACGCAAGCGTCTGTGAGAGATTCGTCATACTTACAGAACACCAACGGTCGACGATTTGTAAGATCGTCATTTGCAACTGCCAGCATCAAGATCTTGCAGATTCCAACCAAGCACATATGACTATTGGGCCTTTTACCTGGAGGTGTATCGCACTGACGGTAGCTGGATTCTTCACAATCACTTCGATTCCCTTTCCAAGCACTGGTTCATTCACCTCTGAGTATGTGCTATTCTGAAGCGGTCGTTGAAAGCAACGCTCTTCTTAACGGAGAGTGCTGGATGCATTTCACAAATGGAACACTTCCGGATACTCGCAATGATAATTCGCTGAGGCCGGCGTATTCTAGCTATGGTTCTGATGCACCCATGCACGATGACACCCCTAAAATTATCGCGCTTACGCATTTGGAATTTAGCTTTATGGCTTAGATTATCTGTCTGCAAAAACTAGGTTCCGCAGCTACCATATTGTAGTCTGATACACACGTCGCCGAGACTAAATTATATCCCTCTGACGCCACAATTAGGGCGTATTGACAGAAAAGATTCCGGTCTTTGAGATTCCTTCACCACCGTCTCGTTCATCATTTCTTTTTGAATTTTTAACCGAAATCGCAGGTAGAGCAGTAAAAAATCACCTACTACCGCGAGAGTGAAGTTGCTTGCTCAAGACGTAAGGTTGATAAATTGACGTAATGGCAGGGTTTGGGTGCTGCAGTGATCCAGAACTTCGTTCTACAAAGTGCGACCATTCCAGAAAAGCAAAAAGAGGGTAGTCGGACAACCAGCAATGAGATCCCGTAAGACGAGGCGGTCTGGGGGTAAAGTCGTACTGTCCTATGCGATGGAAGTGTGAAGACAGTGAGGTATTTTCCACAGGTAATCAGCATGTCAATAGTTATGGGAGCAGCGGTCTTGCTTCTTTCCTCGTCTTCCGAGGAAGGACAGGTCACAGAAGGTTGGCCCGCAAAACCTAGCACTCGGATCGCACAACGGATGAGTGTGACCGCCAGGGCATTATCCAATACGGTTGAAGCACTTTTAAAACGAAAGTCTGGTGTTGCTCAAAGGGCGCCTACTATGCACAGCCACATTAGGAGTCAGGCAGTAATTCCAAACTCTCTGACCCTTAGGTTAGATGAGTCCGCTGAAACCAAGCAAGGGCCTCATTGAAGACCTTGCTGCCCACTGCCCCGTGAATCACTTTTGAGTCCCGCCTACAATGCGCAGCTACCTACCCACCCACCCCCAATCATCGATGAACGAAACTTCGGCAGCTACCAAAGGTGTAATTCCATTTAGTGGCTGGCTTCGGAATAATTTAGAACTGGAAGAAATCGCGGTCCCACGTAGTTTTTCCGGCTTACCAATCAGAACAAAATTACTAAATATATCCATCTGGATAATTCTATCGCCAAGGGTAGTAATTTCCAGAATCGGAAAAGACCACTCAATTATTCTTCAACTGGACTATTCATAACGCCGGCGTCATGGCCTGTCAGTCACGATACGTGTGCAGTACTATGGTGAAACCGGTCTTGTATGAATGCACAACTTGACCAGTTCACGAGGCAGAGGTAGCTAATTGCTCTTTATCATCAACACCCACCTGGCGCTGGATATTTGTGGTGGGAATACTACATATGGCAAGTAATTCACTTGACCGGCATTCCGATTTACCGATTGAGTTAGCGCCTTCAGGCTACTGAATCCCGAAGGCCATTCGCCCGAACAGGCCATATTCGCCCCATCAGGGTTGAGGCGATGAGCAAGCTAAGCGTGATTAAGTGTCAAAAGCTCATTTCCCTGACGTGACACCATTTCCAAGATTACTGGATACCTTTCAACAACCCATTACCTGTTTCGCCTTTCTTGGGAATCATCCAATAGGTACAGTGCCTGAGTTCCCACCAACCTTATTTTCTAATTGAACACCAAATTATACATAAGTGGCGAAACACCCACTTGTAAATCAAATTAGCATAGCGGTAGACTCAACTGAACTCAGCTGAACTATTCGTTGAAGGCATTTTCTTCAAGTGAATGTGCAAAATAAGTCTAAGGTGTCCGAACGATCGACCACCTTGAAGTAGTGTGGGTTTTTCAGAATAGCCGGTGTACAAAATACGTTTTTTAATCGACAGTCAGGCAGTTTTATTCGTCATTGTGGTGGATGCTTCACTACGCGAACACGAGGCTCCCAATGCGTTTTACATACATACATGCTTCCTCAAATACACCTATGTTTGTATACACAGTGTGAGGTGGATAGAGTTGAGGTGCTGCCTGAATCGACATGAACCGGACATAGGGCTGACAATTCAGAAACCTACCACCGCATACCCGCATCTCATCAATCTTAAGGCTGACGCTGTAGTGACTGGACATGCCCATTCCTCTCAGCCTGGTATAGTATGCAAAGTAACCTCCAAAAGGCAATCAACTTCCGAACGGGACCCAAGAAATCCGCCCACATCCCACTGGATTTCTGACGAATAGTACTTTTCACACTGCTGTCTGTGTCGGAACCACAGGTGCACAAGTGCTAAAGAACGCTGCAGAGACAACTTCAAGAGATAGCGCAAACATGGGCCCGAAAAAAGGAAGTACTCAAGTACCGTGACCGTTATATTTAAGATGAAACCATCCAGCCGAGGAAAATTTGCCGCATTATGTATTAGGGACACACCGGTTATCCACAACTTGATACAAGTCCTCACCTAACTCCGATTTCCAAACGAACTTAGAACGTATCTGGAAGGCCTAAATAAACTAAACTGATCGTTAGGCCGTGGCACCCTTCCGGTGCCTAGTTGCCATGCCACCTGAAGGGAGCACGAGGGCTGGGATACTGCCAGGTTGCCCAAATCTGGACAGAGGAAGTCGAGAGGCAGAGGTCGGGTTCCAACAATGGACCTTTCAGTCAGTAAATTCGCGCTCTAACCACTTGAGCCATCTCGCCGTACCAGTGGAACACGCAAAGTGCACCATTCGTAATGCTCTGATTAAAGCCTGAAATTTACCGTGAAGCTGACCTGCACCAAAACGCTCAATGGGATTTAATTCAGTGGTGCTTGAACATGACGAACTATACAGGTGTCGATCCCTTAAGCCTGGACTGGTTGGATGAGCTCCGACGCCTGAAGCAACCCCTCGGTGCCGTTTGTAATGAAACAACTGCAGATGGTTGCAATTACATTTTTTCACATCTGACGACTTTGTGGTCGTTACAGTGACAGCCGAACGGGGAACCAGTCCGAGCGTACGCGACAACGGCTATTCAGCTCGTGGCGTCCGTCACCCGTAGCCCTCTAACTTCGGTTGATTTTTGACGGATCCTGCCAGCAGCTTGCAACGCTGTATTCGCGGTCCCCACCCTTCAACTTACAGTCCCATGTTCAGGTTGATCATTCCACTGCTATCCGAAAAGTCGAGAGGAAAAGACCGATAGAAAGGACACCACATTAGTCACCTAAAGACCAGATTCTGATACGAGGATATGAGCTATGCAGTCCACGGCGGACGGCAGGTCGAACGCTAAGTCAAGTACATGGCGCAAATCATATCACACACGACCACGTCAAGTGAATCAACTTCACACAGCAGACTGCAGCTGCATAATAAAACCACGCCTCATGAAACGCCGGAGAGCCGTGATATACCTCCAAAGTGGAAAGCATCAGATCCCAGATCAGCATGCTCACTGCCCCAGAGACAGACATACATGCGACAGCACCTCCCTGAGCCGTTCCCAATAAAATCAAAAAAGCGATCGG